TCCATTAAACCTCTTTCTTTTGTAAGTTTCTCAGTCTCAGGTGTGTCTTTATCAGCAGGGTGAAAATGGACTGATACAAACCTCCTTTATATTATGTGCATCTTGGCCACTTTGTACTGTCTTCTGGGTATTTTTCTTAGAATTAATTTCTCTCGATTATTCTAGGTGAAGTAACTCAGGAATGGAAAACCAAACATTGAAAGTTCTCACTCGTATGTAGGAAGCAAGCTATGAGGATGTGAAGACAAAAAATGATACAATGGACTTTGGGGACTTGGGGGAAAGGGCCAGAGGGGGGTGAGGGATAAAAGACTACAAATTGGGTATTGTGTATACTGCTCGGGTGATGGCTGCACCAGAATCTCACAAATCATCACTAAAGAACTTTTTCATGTAACCAAACACCGCCTGTTTCCCTAAAACCTATGGAAATAAGTTTTTTTTTTTTTTTTTTTTTTAAAAAGAGCTAACTTCTCTCTTCAGCCACTGTCTAAGCCATCCATTGAGTTTTTCATTTGAATGTGAATATTTTTATTTTCTAGTAATTCTTTTTGGGTCTTTAAAAATATGTTTTATCTTTTTGATATCTTCTTTATTATAATCTTTATTTTCTCTTAGATGCTAAGTACTTTAAACATAATGTATAATCCTTCACAGGTTGGTTAATTTTATGACATTTAATGGGAGATTAATCTGTTGATTGATGAATGTCTTCATAATAAATAGATATCATGTGTCTTTTGTAATTTTGAATTGTAAGCTCATCTTTGGTGGGCTTCTGTTTATGGGATTCCTGTACAGTCTAGAGTCTAAATCTCTGAGGAGAAGTTTTATGTTCATTTCTGTAAGGTACTCCAATGCTTTTACCTGTATGAGGATAATTTTTATGTTATTTTTTTTATTTTGAGGGTTCTAGAATTGTATGTATTTTGTAAAGTAGCATTATCCACTCCTTATATGGTACAGATACATAACGGCATTCTCATGGGAAGCACTTTTCCTTACATGTAGTCTAGGCTGAGAGATCTAAATTTTCATTTGTTCTCACATAGCCTGTGTGTGTGTACATGTATATGTGTCTGTGTGTGTGTGTGTTTTCCTGTTTGTGTATACCCTTTCACTGAAAGTTTAGCCTTTTGAATGTCCTGAATTTGTGTGGTAGTCTCTATCTCCTGCCTCATATGGTTTAAGTTCTCATCTCCTATTCCACATGGGTATTACTAATCAAGCCTGTGGACTATGAAGACTGATGTTATACCCTTCAACCTACTTGCTACCTCCCACCTGCCATCACTACCTCCACCATCACAGTTTTTAGATATTGATTTTTCATATTCCTCTTTGATTATAGACTCTTGTATTTCCGTTACATTCTTGAAAGTTCAGTTGTGATTTTTAAAGTATGACTATTATATTTTCTCTAAATTTCTATCTGTATTGAGTGGATGTGTGTATATGATTATATTATGGACCTCGTATTTCAGAAAGCCCAAATTCTCAAAATAATGGGAAGATATGGAGGGGTGTGAGAACTTACCATGTTTGAGATTTTAAAAAATATATATCTAGTTTAAAACATTGGGCCTGGGCATGGTGGCTCATCTCTGTAATCTTAGCACTTTGGGAGGCCTAGGTGGGCAGATCACGAGATCAGGAGCTTGGGACCAGCCTGGCCAACATGGTGAAACCTGTCTTTACTAAAAATACAAAAATGAGCTGGGCATGGTGGCATGTGCCTGTTGTCCCAGGTCCTCAGGAGGCTGAGGCAGGAGAATCGCTTGACCCTGGGAGACGGAGGTTGCAGTGAGCCAAGATCACACCACTGCACTACAGCCTGGGCAACAGGGCAAGACTCTGTCTAAAAAAACAAAGCAAAAACACTGGGTATGTGACTCAGTATAATCCTAAGAGAAGTTAGGTACTAATAATGAAAGTTCCGTATAAGACAGATTAAGCCATTTGGATTTTATTCTGAAGTCCCTGAGTATTTAAACACAGTCACATGTTGAAAGTTTTATTTTGGTATTAGTATAGAAGACCTATCAGGAGAGATAAGTAGAGAAACCAGTAATGAAGTTGTTGAAATTAGTATTGGTTAGAAATGCTAAAATTTAAATCGTTGTAGTGGCAAAGAATGTATTTAAGGGAAAACATAGAAGGTAAGGAGTGATTGGATGTGGTAGATGATGGAGTGATTCCTTCAGTTTTTTGTTTGTGCATCAGGCAGATAATGATAATGCCGTTAACTAACTGGGAATAAAGAGAAAGAACAAGTAATTTCATGACCTTCTAAAGCAGTATCACATCTAAGAGTGTTTTGGTAGTCGTTAGGTTTTTCTGAATATAAGATTGTGTTATCAGCAAACATGGATAATTTGGCTTCCTCTTTTCCAATTTGGGTGGCTTTTATTTGTTTCATTGGTCGAATTTCTCTGGCTAGAACTTCTAGTTCTATGTTGAACAGGAGTGGTAAAAGTGGACATCCTTGTCTTGTTCTAGATCTTAGAGGAAATGTAAAAAAGTCAGCTGTGTCAAAAGAACTATTTCTTTATATGGTATGGGTTTTAAAAGTATGTTATTTTACATACAGGTTCAGAGAGAAGAAATCATGAGGATTGCAGTAGAGGTGGGAATGGAAGATAAGGAACTGGAGACAGTGAGTATAGATAATTCTTTCACGAAGTCTGCCACTGGAAAAAGACAAATAGTTGGATGAAAAGACAAGAATGAATGAAGAGTTTTTCACTGTGGGAAGGACTTTAGTAGGGCTTGTGAATTAGATGGAACAAGCCACTAGAATGGGTGAAAGGAAGAAATGAAGGAGAAAATAAATACATTAAGAGAGTGAAATCCTATACCTTAGAGAGGGAGCATAGATGGTCAAGGTTGAATCTAGGTCTTTAATGATCTTGAGTAATATAGTGGAATTAAATAGAAATGTTATGATCCCTAACATCTGACTCATGAGTTTCTTTTTGACTTAAACTGTCTTTCAGGCAGGCTGACCATCACTCATCATGAGCTGTGCCCCTAATGCTTCACACTCTCCAGTCTTCTTGCTCCTTGGGTTCTCAAGAGCTAGCATCTCCCACACTCTTCTCTTCTTCCTGTTCCTGGCTGTTTACCTGACCACTATATTGGGGAATGTGACATTGGTGCTGCTTATCTCCCAGGACTCCAGACTCCATTCACCCATGTATTATCTGCTTCGTGGCCTCTCTATGATAGACATGGGGTTATCCACAGTCACACTGCCTCAGTTGCTGGCCCATCTGGTCTCTGATTACCCAAACATTCCTGCTGCCCGCTGCTTGGCTCAGTTCTTTTTCTTCTATGCATTTGGGGTTACAGATACACTTGTCATTGCTGTCATGGCTCTGGATCGCTATGTGGCCATCTGTGACCCCCTGCACTATGCTTCGGTAATGAATCACCAACGGTGTGCCTGCTTACTAGCCTTGAGCTGGGTAGTGTCCATACTGCACACCATGCTGCATGTGGGACTTGTCCTGCCCCTTTGCTGGACTGGGGATCCTAGGGGCAATGTTAACCTTCCTCACTTCTTTTGTGACCACCGGCCACTTCTTTGAGCCTCTTGTTCTGACACACATTCTAATGAGCTGGCCATATTCCTTGAGGGTGGCTTCCTTATGCTGGGCCCCTGTGCCCTCATTGTACTCTCTTATGTTCGAATTGGGACCACCATTCTATGTTTGCCTTCAGCTGCTGGTCGCCGCCAAGCAGTCTCCACCTGTGGATCCCACCTCACCATGGTTGTTTTCCTCTATGGCACCATCATTTGGGTCTACTTCCAGCCTCCCTCCCAGAACTCTCGGCATCAGGACGTGGTGGCTTCAGTAATGTATACTGCCATTACACCTTTGGCCAACCCTTTTGTGTACAGCCTCCGTAATAAGGATGTCAAGGGTGCACTCCGCAGGCTGCTTGAATGGAGGAAGGTAGATCCCTGATTAGCCTGCTGTGGGCCATATTGGATAGCTGAGAAAAGTCATAGGCCTATTCTAAGCAGAATTGGTTTTGGGGAGATCAGAGGGAGGGAGGGCTTAGATAATTTAAGGAACTCCAGATTTGGCTCTTGTCAATGTTGTGCTTTGATAGAGCCAGGAACATTCCACATTCATAGACACATAAGATCAGGGCTGCCTTATCAGCATAGCTCTGGGCACCCTCCATCATTTTATCAAAGTGGATAAAAATGAATTACCAAGTCTGGGTAGTTTTAATTTTAGAGTTCTGAGGGAATATGAGGATAGGATTGTGAAACTATGGACTAAAGGAAGGGCCGTGGAGTTAGTCATCATCACATTTAAGTTGGTGTGTGTTCTTGTGGGAGTGTGGCTGTGTATATCAGAAAGTAAGGGAAGACAACAGTTTAGACAAATAGGGCTGTCTCAGGAACAGAAAACCAAACACCTCATGTTCTCACTCATAATTGGGTGTTGAACAATGAGAACACATGGATGCAGGGACAGGAATATCACATACCAGAGCCTGTTGTTGGGGAAGGGGCTAGGGGAGGGATAGCAGGGTGTGGAGGGATTGGGGAGGGATAGCATTAGGAGAAATACTTAATTTAGATGATGGGGTGATGGATGCAGCAAACCACTGTGGCATGGGTATACCTGTGTAACACACCTGCACATTCTGCACATGTACCACAGAACTTAAAGTGTAATAAATAAAGAAAAAAGAAAAAAAATCTGGCTGTCAAATACACTGCCTCTTCCATTCAATGAGCAAAAATATGTCCCCAAGTGAGTGTGAAATGATAATAATGATTCTACTGTTCCATAAGTTAGCCCTAATGTCCATGGGTTTCTTATAGTGTGAACTTCTAACTCTGATGCATATCAGTTCTATTTTATATATTTTAAATTAATGTGCATTAAAAATAAAATGTAGGTAGAAAAATACAAGATAACTACTTCATTGCATAAAAGAAGGAACAGTGGACTATCTTAACACAGATGAAAAAATTGGCACTTTGCTTATAGCTTTTTGGCAGCTGAAAAATTGGTCTCTACTTCGGTGCTTCTTAAAAGATTAAAATGGTAATTTTGAGGGTACTCAGTTTTCACCTTTATGCACGGAACTTTGCCCTTCACCCCACTTGAGATGCAGCTTCACTCAAACAGCCTGTAATTTAATTGTAAACAGGGTTTCCTATACTGAGGATTTCCAGGACATCTATGGCTTCCAGAGTTATAAGAACTCTAGAAGGCACCTGGACATTCACAGAGCACTCTTCTTGGGACACCTTCAGCATGATTGGTCCAGGCAAGATCTGGTCTTCTCTGCTTCTTCTCCTTACTGAATGTGCTGACCTCTGTCTCTATTCCTCCATAAGCCCCTTTGCCCCCATCCCAAAGGCACTACCTCAATCCCTGGGATCTCCCCATTCCAGGTACAATTTCTATATTCCCCTGACCAAGCATCTTCTGTTCACTCAATACATTATTTCTCGAGCGATTGGTAACATCCAGTGTTCTAATCTCAATGCCAAATCTACATTATCTGCCTGTGAGTTCTGGCATAGTTTTTGGGAACCATCACCTCACCCACATGCCTGGCTCCCATGACATTGTACTATTGGTGTCCTCTAATGTCGCTCCATCTTTTCTGTACCCCTGTGTGACATCTGTTCCTTCTACTTTAAGCCTTAGGCACCTTGCCTATGCTTGTCTTATTCTGTTACAGAACTCATCTACTCTTAATATATCACTTCTCTTTTCAAATTACTATCACCTTACAATGAAAATGTAGGAAATTAAATTCTCACAGTAGATTCATTTCCACAGCTCTTCATTTATTGTCATAATCACTACTGATATCTACGGCTCCAATAAGTAAACCCCAATTCTTCCTCTGTCTGTATCACCTTTCACTGTGCATCAGAATCACCTGGGAGTTTTGGATCCAGTTGCTATGAGGTAAAGCTTAGGCATCAGTATTTTTAAACATTCCCCAAATGATTCTAATAGGTAGCTACAGTCAAGACCATTGGCTTAATGTGATGTGTTTTGAAGCTTATCAATTAATCCTCCTAAAACCTCTTGCATTTGAATAGTAGTAATAGCTTTTATATAGCACTTCGTATATGTCAGACATTGTTTTAGGAGCTCTCCACATATTAACTCACTGATGTTTCTCAGCAAGGTGATGAAGTAATCACTGTTCTTACCCCCCTGAGGCACAGAGAGAGTAAGTTACTTGCTTGGAGACAAACCTTGCTCATATTTCTTCAAATATCCTGTGGCTTGTATTCTGTATTTCGTCTCCAAATTGAACTATGCTCGGTTCTCATAGCCTTTACCTCATCTAGATCTTTATCATGTCCTATGCAAACTACAAATGGACCTCCCTGCTATCAATCTCTTCCATTGTTCATGGTGTTCATCTTACAGAGCACACTGCATGAATCAGCACATATGCAGCCCATGTGCACTGGATTTGAAGTCAGCATGCTTCATCCACTTTTGTTTAACTCAATCCTATCACTTTCTCACTGTGTCATTTTGACTGAGGTTTTGCATCTGTGAGCCTTGGTTTTCCCAGAGATGATTTTAATACCTGAATTACTTCTCTCACAAGTTAATTACGCTTCTCAAATTGTGCATGTGATTTTGCCTTGTAAACTCTTAAATAATAGAGAAAAGTTGTTATGATTATGGTCCATTATACAAGTCCATCAGCATCTTTGAAATTGGATTATACTGTTAAAGAGAGAAAAGGCTATGTTATATATTTATTAATTATTTCCCAAAGCCACTGGTCACAGAACAGGTACAAATATTCATAAGCACTCATTGACAACTATGTTATTTTTTGCTGGAAAAGTTCACAGTTTGTACAGCACTGGTGAAAAATATACGTTTTTAATTTATCATCAAATTATGCATTTTTTCTGGAATCCTGGTTCTGCTCCCTGAATTCTCTTCTCTGTCTTCAATCTTCTATGTCAGTGGCACAGAGCAACTCCACAGCATATCAGAAACACATGATAGGTCTAAAAGTATGCTGATGCCCAGGTCATACCACAGACCAATTAATACAGAACCACTAGGGCTGGGCCCAGACAGGGATATTTTATGATTCTCTCCAGTTGCAAAGCCATGATTGTGAACCATGGCTGTGTGAACTAATGTGACTACAAATAGTCACGCTTCTGCCCTCTCTGTCCAGGTTCAGGAAAGGTTAAGGGGAAATTATCCTCAATTGGCAGGAGGAGAAGAAGAGGCACTCTGTTCTGAACTGAGTGTTTGGGTCCCTCCAAGATCCATACATTGAAACCCTAACCTCCTAGGTGATAGTCTTAGGAGGTGGGAGCCTTTGGGTGATAATCGGGTTGCGAGGATGGAGCCCTCATGAATGAAATTAGTGCCCTTTCAAGAAGAGGATGAAGAGAGCTTCTTAATCCTATCTCTCTGGCTCTCAACCATGTGAGGATACAATGAGAAGATGACTGTCTGAAAACCAGGAAGCATGCCCTCACCAGCCACTAGATCTGCCCTCACCTTGGTCTTAGACTTTCCAGCTTCCAGAACTGCAAGAAATAAATATTGTTTAAACTACCCAGTCTATGTTAATTTGTTATAGCAACCCTAACTGACAGATAGATTTGCTGTTAATAAATCTTTGATCCTGATGCAACCCTTTTTGTTTGCCTGGTAGGTTAGAAGCGGAGTGCAGCAGGGATGCGACATCTTAACTTCTACAATAAACACTGAGTGAGTACTCCACTATTTATTTTCTTCTGTGAATTAACGTTGTCTCCTTTTTGTTGCAATTAATAAGAATGCACTTTTTCCATATTTTGGATTACTTCCACATGTGGGGTTACTTGGAGACAGTATATGATCTTATTTTAGCACATATTTCTCATAATTTGTATTGCATTTCACATTGTTTTATTGTCTTTTCCCCCCCTAAGATATCTAGAGGCTTATAAATCTTACTTTTATTTAATGGCTGGTCATATTTACATTTTTCAAAATTGTACTGAAGTTTATATTTCACTGACAATATCAAAAACATATCTTTGGATGATTCATCATACATACTGTGAGAATTACCACGATTTTTCTGTTATTGCCCCAACTGCATTTGGTTCTTATTTTTTAAAAGTAAGATTAATATTTTAAAGTGGCTTTAGGGCTGGGCATGCTGGTTCGTTCCTATAATTCCAGCGCTTTTGGAGCCCAAGGCAGGAGAATCACTTGAGGCCAGGAGTTCAAGGCCAGCCTGGGCAACATAGTAAGACTTCATCTCCACAAAAAAAAAAAAAAAAAAAAAAAAAAAAAAAAAAAAAAAATTAGCCGTGTGTGGTGGTGCGCGTCTGTGGTCCCAGCTCTACTTGGGAAGCTGAGGTATGAGGAGGCTTGAGCCTTTGAGACTGAAGCTGTAGTGAGCTATAATTGTGCCACTGTACTCCAGCCTGGGTGACTGAGTGAGACCCTGTCTCAAAAATAATAATAATAAATAAGGTAGCTTTAGGTTCACAGCAAAGTTGAGCAGAAACCACAGAGTTGCCATATACCTCTTTCTCTCATGTACATAGTCTTTTCCACTATCAACATTCCACACCAGAGTAATAGTATATTTCTTAACATTGATGACCTACGTTGACATACTGTCTCCTTGAATCCATACTTTACGTTAGGGTTCACTCTTGGTTTAGTACATTCTATGGGTTTGGACAAATGCATAGTGGCATGTATTCACCCTTACAGAACCGTACAGAACAGTTTGAGTGCCTTAAAGATCCTCTGTGCTCCTCCTATTCATGTATTCCTTTCCCCTAACCTAGAAGAAGATTATGCAGTCATTCTATGTTTAAGTTTTTGAGGAACCTTCTTACTGTTTTCCATAATGGCCATACCAATTTACATTCCCACCTATAGTGAACCGGAGTTCCCTAGTTTTAGCTCTTGCACTTAGGTTTTTGGTTAAT